AAAATCATCACTCAAGGATCTTTGACTCAGAATTTAAAGATATCAAACTTTTCTTACAGTATTAAGCATATCTGCTCTGTACTTTGACTAAGGAAAAAATTCTCCCAAGCACTGATCTCTGACAAACTTGGAGACTTGATCCTGCAAGTACTTAACTTCTCAATCTAATTCTGCAGTCACAATGCATGAAGGAAACTACTTGCAAGAAAAAAATAAAATGGAAAAATCATATTTTCCAGATTTATTCTCAAAAGAGAGGTGTTACTGCTCCATGAAGTATGAATAGTTTTGCCTTTGACAAACCTGTCTAACGTATTTGAAGTCATCCAGCCTCCCACCCGCTCTTCTCCAAATTGTACTTAAAATGCTATTCCCAAGAGGGATTTCTGTTTGTTATGGGAGCAGCACCATCGATACTTTTGGCTTGATAAGGCTGTAGAGGCTTTTCCCCAGTTACAGCGGGGGGGTTGAAGCTGAGCTGTGTGGTCCGATAGCAGTTTGAGTGGCCTGTGTAGGGGTGATAGTGCTCTGTAATGTGTTGGTAAATGTAACTGTTTTGTCTTAAGCTCCTGGGCTATATAAGTAACTTGAGTCCTGGAAAATAGTCAGAGTCCCCTGGATCTGATAATATGTCATTATTTTGAAATATGAGATGCAGCTGGGAGTGAGAAAATTCATTTTATTTCATTTAGCGTTGAAGTGATTCGTTTGGGCCAAAGCTATTTTATAAACTGGGACCTGCAAATGTATCACGCTGAGAAGGACACGGCCGCGAAGGCCAGAACCACCACACTGAATGAGCAGCTGGGGCAGATCCACTACATCTTCTCTGATAAGACAGGAACGCTTACACAGAACATCATGACGTTTAAAAAATGTTGCATAAACGGCCAAAGATACGGTAAGTCTGTGCCATGCTGCTGCACCCTGTAGTGAAAACCACGGCTAGCACAGGAGCTCTGATTTGTGACAGGAACACAGGGGGAAGACCCTACAAGTCCCTGTATAGCACAGCTGGCAGCCTCTGAGCGGTCTATACACATGAGTAGGAATTTCAATGCTTGTTTGAAATCAGGTGCATATGAGTTTGTTTGGTTTTGTTTTTTTTTTTTAGTTTCAGCTGAACTTCCATGATTTGGCCCTGACATTGAGTAAGCTCCAGTAAAATTGAATTGTTGGGGTTTTCCCCCCGTTTTCCCCTTTAAAAAGGGGAAAGTGATGGACCTGAGTGGAAACTTCTGGTAGAAAAGTCAGAAATGAGTAATTTACAGAATGCTTTACTTTTGGTAGAAATGCTTCAGAGACAAAATCAATCTAGAAACAAATAAGAAAATTTAATAAGAACAGCAGTCTTTAATTTCAGTGTTAGTTACTTCCATTTCCAATCTTGTCTGGATTTCAATATTTAGAATACTCCAAAACTATTGTTTGGTCAGTTCAAATAACGAAGAACACAGTGTGCTAACGCCATGTGCTTTTTAAACATCCTACCTCTGAAGAGAGATGAGGAATTTCTGACAGTGAAAGCTGTGTTACGCCAACGTGGATGTTTTATGACAATTCCACTGCATGCTTTTTTTCTTTTATTTGCTTTGGTGTCACTAGTATACAAAGGTACTGCGGCTGTGAAAGAACTTGCTTTTTTTGAAATCTGAGCTATTCTAGTGCAGTAGATATTCTATGTATTTTTTTACTTTGTGAATGAGTTGTAAAAACTTTGTTATCCTGTCCTGTGCCTTCTAACTGATGGTGCTTGCGTTGCAGGAGACTGCCGGGATGGAGCAGGGCAGCTTCAGAGCCACCCAGAGGTATGTCGGTCCAATCTGGCGCTGAAGTCCCTACGGTCTGTAGAACAGGGAACATGCCCTTGCCAAAGTATGAAGAGATGCAGGTAGGCACAGAGCAATTGCACATGAGATAACTCAAGCCCTCTCTTCTTCTGTTTTCTAAGCAGCAGGTGGATTTCAGCTGGAACATGTATGCAGATGGAAAGTTCTCGTTCTATGATCACTATCTGATAGAGCAAATAAAATCTGGAAAGGAGCCAGAAATTCAAAAGTTCTTTTTTCTGCTTGCTATTTGTCACACAGTCATGGTTGACACTTCTGATGGTGAGTATGTTTAGTTTGGGTTTTTTTCTTGTGCAAAGGGAAACAAGAATTCAAATCCAGTTGCACAAGGGAGAGGTCCAAAATTAATGCAAATCCCATAAGTGAGAAGGAGTGCTAGGCTGCTCTTTCAAATTAAACAAAAGCAAGAGCTGGTGCGATTCCCTGTGCTGAACTTACCTGACCCTTTATGGAAGGAGAACTGTCTTTATGACAGTTACAGTTGTGGCAAGTGCACATCTTAAATAACAGCAAATTTAGAAAGGTAGGGGAAGTTTATACAGAGGTCCTGTGTCTTCATGTTACGGGTCTTCTCTCTGTTCAAATCCATCTTTAAAATCTCAAAAGCATAAACCTCAAATAAAATGATAATGACACTAGCATAGTCTCTGGTTCCATATACGTATGTGAAAGTATAATCACATCTGGACACTTGTTTTCAGTGTGGAAAAACAAGTGTTTTCAGCATGAGGGTTTCATGCTTTTACTCCTTTAAGCACAGCCCCATAGATATATACAAATCATGTACATCTGTCCTAAGAGTATTGGCAGGAAATAACCAAAACAAATAACAAAAATGTGACAGAAACTAAATTTCTGTGAGGTGAGTGAATGGCTATTGAAGAATTCGTGAATATGAAAAATAAGGTTGGAAGATTCAGTTAAAACATTGAAGAGTAGTGTTGCTTTACTCCTATCTTCGCGAGATCTTTGTGAAACCAGCAGGCTCCTGTCCTTTCTTGCTCTTCCTACTAATGTTTTTGGGGTTGTTTCCACCACTGTTTTTTGGTGTCTGTGGCCAAGAATTTGTCTTTTGGAGCTTCCTTTGAAAATGCTTAAACAAATGTATTGAGAAATTAAGATGTTTAAGTTATATTTGTTTTGAGACAGAGAAGTTACATTTTTTGCTTTTGTACCTGGAGGGAAGAGGATTCAGTGACTTATCCTGTTTGGAAAGTACACGTAATAAAAAGGAGGGGGTCCATAGTCCCCCTCCTCTATGTGCCCTGCTATTGGGTGCTGCAGCAGTGTGTTAGACCTCACTTCAGAAAAAGAAAGGATGTGGCATTACATGTCCAGCTCTGAAGTACTCTAAAGAATGGCTGTGAATTTTTTAGCTGCGGTGTCCGAGTGCCCCTGTAATGCTCAGGTATATCCTGGCTTTCTCTTCTTTTCACTGTTTCAATGATACAGGTCAGCTCAATTACCAAGCAGCTTCCCCAGACGAAGGGGCCCTGGTTACAGCGGCCAGAAACTTTGGCTATGTTTTTCTTTCACGAACACAAAGTACCATCACTATAAGTGAAATGGGGATTGAAAAAATTTATGATGTCCTTGCTATCTTGGATTTCAACAGTGATAGAAAACGCATGTCTGTCATTGGTAAGCTGATTACAACCAACCTTTATAGAAAAGGTCACTTGTATTTCATAGGTGAAGAAGTATGTGCGCAGGAAGTTGCTGTGTAAGACACAGCCCTCTGATAGATTTTAATCCACATAGGTCTGTATAGCAAAAGAGAGGCTTTGTATTTAGGTGCAAATGTGTCCACTAGACAGCCCTGGTGTTCAGACGTAGCCTCTGCTGAAGACAATCTTAGGTACCTTGAGTAGGAGCTTGAAGAAATGCTGCAAAGATGATTTATTCCCCTTTTTCCCCAGAGAACAAACAAGTTGTATGTTCCTCTAGCTATTGGAATGCTAGATAATGCAGGTTGAGGTAGCTCTTTAGTTTTAATTTCAACTATCTTTAAAGAAGTCAGTCTTGAATCAGTTAGAGATCTGTTGTTTTTAAGGCTATAATTGTGGTGCATCATATCTCTAGTGTATGTCTCTGCCCAGCTGCTATGGGCAAGTGAGATGTTAATACTATATGAACCACTATCAAAAACAGAACCCTTGGGAGTTTAAATATCCTCTCCTGTCATGAAAGAGAAGAGGAAATTTACTTGTCAACCAAGTTACTTAATTGAACAATATTAGAGATGAAGAAGAAGAAACATGATCTTGTAGTTTTGGTACTTAACATCAGTAGACTGAAAAATCTAATCTGAAACTATTCCTTTATTTAAATGTACTCTAACATTTTGTCCAACCTCTCATATTTTACTCCACAGTAAGAGAATCAGGTGGAAATATCAGGCTATATTGTAAAGGGGCTGATACAGTAATTTATGAACGGTTGCACCCAAGGAATCTAAAGAGAGAAGCTACAGAAGAAGCACTAGATGTATGTCTGTATTTTATATGCTGTTTTTAAATCAAAAATTGTTTATTTCTGATTATAATTTTATTGATTTCCTTTTCCTAAGCTATTAAAACAAATGCAGGCCTATAAGTGGTTCTACAAGTCATCCCAAACCTGAGAAATAATCAAAGCAATAGAAGTTTTCATGCATGTTCTTAAAAATGCATTCATTGTCTTTTCATGAAAAGTGAACTTAAATTTTGTCTACGTGCTTTTTTTCATAGTTATCAGTATTCCAGATCACTACACTCTCTTCTGTTTGTCACCTCTTCAGTCTTTCATTTCAGACTGCCTTTGTCAGCTATAATTTAATTTTTGGCATTTCTGAAATACTCAGGACTAATCATGCAGTCAGATTTGTTTTATCAGACTTACCAAATGCTTATGATCTTAACTCTTCTATGTTTGGATTGCAAATGAAGAGTTTTGTTTTGTGGATATGTTTTTTGGGGTTTTTAAAATTATTTTTCAGATTTTTGCAAATGAAACTCTTAGGACACTCTGCCTGTGCTATAGAGACATTAGTCATGAAGAATTTGAAGCATGGAATAAGAAGTTTGTGGAGGCCAGTGTAGCTACAACTAATCGTGATGAAGCTCTGGACAAAGTATATGAGGAAATAGAAAAAAACTTGATTGTAAGTCAAGCTTTAAATTTAGTGTACTTTTATTCTCATATAAGAATAAACAGATCTTTTTGCAAATAAATTATCCTTGTTTATTAGGACATTTTGATTTAGATCTTTTTCAGTATTTTATTGGCTTTAGAGCCACGCCAAATTTTAGAGTTTAATAGAATGAAGGGAAATGTATTTTAGTACATGTATTTCAGTGTGGTCACTTCTATATGCAAGAGTTTGTCTTTACCGAATCCTTGGCTTGAAGACATATCCAGAATAGTTTCATTCTCTACTGAAAATAAAGCAGTATTCCATACATGTTTATCCTACTAAATACCTGTATTTCAAACATCTTCCAGCTGCTTGGTGCGACAGCTATTGAAGACAAACTACAGGATGGAGTTCCAGAAACTATTTCCAGACTTTCAAAAGCAGACATTAAAATCTGGGTGCTTACTGGTGACAAAAAAGGTGGGGTTACTTACAGCCAAAGAGCTAGTAAAAACAGGATAAGGGCTAGAAGATAAACTGGGACAAATGCAGACTAGAAATAAAGCATATGTTTCTAGAAAAGCTTAGTATGAAAGTCCGTTTAAATCAAAACTGAAGGAATTTCTACAACATGCAGAATTTCATCCCAGCTGTTCTTCTGGGATGGGCTTCTGTGTAACTTCTGTTCCTCCAACAGATTAGCCTAGATGACTGATTTTGTGACTGCCTTCTATAGGGAAATACCCAGCTACTGCTTTTCCCAATGCAAAGCAAATGCAGGACAACTTGCTTTTAACATCAGGCTTGCTTGGCTCTGAGGGCAGGTACCAAAACCTGTCTTTTTACAGTGAAAATTTACTTCTCAAAGAATCACAAGTGCTGCTGACAGAGACTGATTTGCTTTTCTTTTGGTAGTTGCTAGTCTGCAGTCCGGCAAGACGTTTTGTTAAGTCAGTTCAAAAAATGGCATTAAATTTGTAAATAAGAATGGCTGTACTACAGCCTGGATGGAGGTGCAGCCAGACCAGCATCTCTCTGATGCTGGCAACAGCCTTGGTTCAAGGAATCTGGAGTAAGGACAGGGCAAGATACCGTGGCACACCCTGTGGTTGATTCTTGCAATGCCTTTGGTGTAATGGCTCTCTGACATGGAGGCAGCATCTCCACCATTAGGTTAAATAGGCCCTGGTAGGTCTTCCTTTCACGAATTGGCTGATAGATTTTTCCAGGTCACTAACAGTTTTTGCATTCAAAACATCTTGTGACAATGCATTGCACCCACAGTAATATACATTTCATAGGAAATGTTGCATAGGAAATATAATTCCCTGTTATTGACATTAAATCCATTGCCCACTGCGCCTTCATTGCCACACAGTTGTTGTATGACAAATAATCAACAAGCATTCCCCTAGCTTCTTTGTGCTATGTATGGTTTGGGTTTTTTTTCCTGTTCATCCACACTGTGGCAATGAAAGGGAACTTCTCGTACTGAAACATAACTTCAAAAATTACTTAAAAGAACTTCAGGTACTTCTGGCTGCTCCCAACAGTCACTCATGACAGAACTTTAAGTAAATACTTTCCTCTCTTATTTTTTATTGTAGAAACTGCTGAAAACATTGGATTTTCTTGTGAACTCTTAACAGATGAGACAACAATCTGCTATGGAGAAGATATCAGGCAAGTGAAAAGCACAAAGGATTTCTTTTGTGGGAATTAAAAATGTTCAATTTTTAAAATTAACCCAGCAGTAACATTGGTTTATCCCACAGTGACTCTTCAATGACTGAACAGTATTTCTTGGCAGTTGTTCAGCTGTACACTGTCTGTTTCTTTGCTCTTTATGGAATTGTAATTTTACAAGGCAACCTCTTAATTGTGGGTAGAGGTGGTGATATCCTATTTGCAGGAGGTTATACGTTCTAGGTCAACAACTGTTGACATTAAATTTGTCCTGTAGTTCAGACAAGTCTGGAGCCCACCTGGAGTGGGCTAAGCAGGTCTCTCCCTAGTCCAAATCTGGAGTAGTTGCCAGGTTTTGCTCTTGCTACCTGTCCCTGAACTCCAGCATTACCCCAGCTGGTCTTTCAGCCTATCCCATGCTCCTGTACGCAGTACAGACCTATGCTATAAAAACACAGTGGATCACAAGGTATTCAGCGCTTAGTCATAAAGAATTTGCCAAAATGGTTAGACCTAAGGAAAAACAATATGGGGCTGGGAGAAGAACTAGGGCCTTGTAGCAGTGTCACAACTATTCTTGACTCGTTTTTCCAAATTTTTCCTTATTTGCAAAACAGCAAGGACATCAAACCAGTGTGCTCCTCTTTTCACTGTTGCTCTAGCACTGCTTAGAACATCACCTAATATATGGCAAAAAAAGTCCTTGCAGCATGTATTCCACTTCTTTCTTGCAGATTTTCAGTCTGGGACTGATCTAGCTTAAAGTTTATTCTTGATTTTTCTGTAATAGTAACCACCTCTCTTTCCAGTGCTCTTCTTCAAACTAGGTTGGAAAACCAAAGGAACAGAGCTGGATCAAGTACACATTCCTCTCTAAGAATGAACGAGCCCTTCTTCCAGGGTAGTAGAGATCGTGCTTTAATAATCACTGGCTCCTGGCTGGTATGTACAAAAGATATTCTCCTGTGTATTTGAGATTTTGGAGGTACCACCAAGTCACAGTGTCCTTCATTGAGGACTCTGTTCATTTGTCTGCTTTGCTAAACCAGTCAATGAAAATTCTTTGGCCATTGTGCCACCAGTTGAACATATCTGTTTGATATTTATGTTCAGAAATATTTTTGGTTTTGAAGGTTAAAAATAGTGCTCAATAAAATAAGGAATGTCTTGGGCCTTTCAAAGCACCCTGGTAGCTGCCATCAAAGTAAAGCCAAACCCCTGCAAAAGCACAGTCTGATTTTCAGTGTGTTTATTCTTCATGGGGATTCTGGTCTAATGGAAAAAAAAAAAAAAAAGAAAAAGAGATACTGGTAGTGCTACAGGATGCATGGCTTCAGTATAGGCACAGAAATTGTACTTACAAATGAGAGATGGGAGCGAAAGGGTAGAAACAAAAGACAAGTTTCCTGCTCAGTCCTGCAATATAGTGCTCTCACAGGAGCTTAGAAAGCGGAAAAGAGCTTTTAGCAGAGAGGTGACTAGCAGTAATGCAGTGACTATTACCCACCCTGTTGGCAGGCTGCTCCTGCAGACATCTGTAAAGTAGAAAGTCGGTGAACAGCTAAGGACCATCTGCCACCTTTCAGCGTTCCAGCCCTAAACCTTTATTTTGTATAAAGAAACGTACATCTGTGTAGAAGGCATAGGAAGCAGGCTGGGGATGCCTAAAGGTAAACTAGCAGGAGCATCAGATAAGGTTGCAGGTCTCTGTTACCCCCTATTCCAGCTGAACTGCCCCAGAGCTAACCCAGGTATTTATAGGACACTTCCGCATGTATTGGGCATCGTCGTGCTTCCTTTAGGAGATGGGGAAATAGGAGAGAGGGAAGTTTAAATACCAGAATATTTTCAAAAGTTAATTAGTTCCCATCGGAAGAAATATTCCTTGAACTCTGCCAAAAGTGCTGTGACACTAAATACAAGCATTTTGCTTTTGTTAATCCCACCAAGTACATTCTTTTCATTGGTTCCATAGCTCTTTGTTCACTCCTCTGCACAAGCATTTTATTAAAATGCTATAAATGGGTGATGGGAGCATAATGAAGTTGTGTGTTGTATAGGCAGTACTCGTAGTGCGATTTGAAATAGTGTAGAAGGAAGCATAAAATATTTTTGTTACACAGAATGAAATCCTGCTAGAGAAGAAAAAGAAGAAAAAGAAACTTAAACTGAAATTCCCCAGAACAGCAGAAGAGAAAAAAAAGCAAGCTGAGAAGAGAAGAAGGGCTGAAGCTTACAAAGAACAGCAGCAGCAGAACTTTGTTGATTTGGCCTGCGAATGCAGGGCTGTGATCTGCTGTCGAGTGACTCCAAAGCAGAAAGCCATGGTGGTTGAGCTTGTGAAGAAATACAAGAAAGCTATTACTCTGGCTATTGGGGATGGTGCCAATGATGTAAACATGATTAAAAGTAAGGCAGCTGTAAAACTTCTCTTGGTAGGAACGATCTCTTCTGGGTGTTCTTCGGCAGTGTCTTTGCTATTACTCTTTGCTCAGAAGACTCTACCATCTATGTCATCACCCACGTTAACATCACTTGGGTTTTGTTAGCTTCTGTGCCTGTGCTTTCCCTTTTTGAGGAAGCCCTTTAGGAAATAGTTAGTGGTTTTTGCTGATGTATTTTAGCTTTTTCTGTAGACGTTCCCTGAGAAGGGACTTGAATTACCTCTGTTCTCATGTTGTGGGTTACAAAAGTGTAATATAAAGAACAAAGCAATAGCTTAGCTGCCCCTTGCTTGGAGGCATTAGCCGTGCTGTATTGCAGCTGGCACTCTTTGAACTGCTCCCTGAGAAATCCCACTGAGAAAGAAATGTCTGGGATATGGTTTATGTTAGGAGTGTATTTGTAAACTGCCTGGCCAGTCCATTCAGGGGTTTGCTTGCTTTGTCTCATTGCTTAGTTCTCCCATGGTCAAATTTCCCAGTGCCCGTTCTGACGGAACAAGCACTGAGAGAGAATCCAAGCGACAGTGGAGACGTGAGCAGTAAATAGCAGGGCAAGGAAGGGCTTATGCATTGTTGTTTAGTCTTTAATGCAGCCTTTGTGCTGTATACAGAAATAAAATGAGGCAGGAAAACCTGAAGCAGAGAACAGGAACTGGTAGAAGATTTGCCCTTGGTCATGTTGTTCCTCTCCCTTTGTTTAACATAGCGCGTGGTGTTTGTTTCATTTACTTAGCTGCCCACATTGGAGTTGGAATCAGTGGCCAAGAAGGGACGCAAGCTGTCATGTCAAGTGACTACTCTTTTGGGCAATTCCGCTACCTCCAGAGACTGCTGCTGGTCCACGGACGATGGTCTTACATTAGGATGTGCAAGTTTCTAAGATATTTTTTCTACAAAAACTTTGCTTTTACACTAGTCCACGTCTGGTATTCATTCTTTAATGGCTTTTCTGCCCAGGTAAGAAGGCATGCTCATGTGTAATATTAAGAAGCGGATGTTCCTTTTTGTCAGTGCAGAATAGCAAAGGCTTAACCTGGGAAATGATGGGAAACCGAAGTTATCATCAATAATTTCTGCAGGAGAATAGGTGATGACTACTAAGCTAGTTAGTTACAAGCTAAGCAGTTGGTTATGATTTCAGAAGACTAAACTCAGTATCATGATCGTACAGGGAGGAGGGGAGGAAGAGATTGTTATATAGCAGGTTGGGAAACCTTTCCCAACCCAGCTACTTAAAATATTCCTAGGTGAAGTGAGATGGTGTGTGTATGTATCAGTAGGAAACCAAACTCAAATTTTTTCTTTATCTTGAACTGCTGGCTAGAATAGCTCGAAAAGTGCATGTTGTAACTGGCAGTGTTTGAAGTTCACGTGTTGAAAGGTTGTGTTGAAAGGACTTTAAGAGTCGAGATGCATCTCCATGGGCATAACCAAAAGACAGGCAGATGTCATTGCATGGACCAGCACGGAGGGTCAGGGCCATAGTCACAGACAAGCAGCCCTGCCTGAGGTTAATGCTGTTTGCTGTGATGGAAACTGTGGATGCCTAGGACAGAGGGAAAAAAAAAAACCCAACACAAAAAGAAACCAGGGTTCCTAAACTTGTATGTGAGATGCCAGGTGCTCATCACAGTCACAAGTGCAGCTATAAACCAGACTGACATCTAGTATGAGGTGTTCAGTTTTGATAGTGTTCCAGGTCAGGTAACACTGATGGTTTGTAAGGAGTGGGGCAGCTTAATACAGGCTAAAAATAGTTTCAACAGAGCTTTGAGCTAAGGTGCTGCTTGCATTTTGGGTAAACACTGAGACAGGTAGTTTAATGCTATAGTAGAGCATATGTGAATTTTCTCAGGAATTGGAAGGAAAAGGTGTAACCAAAAATAAATCATTAACTACTGAAATTCCTCCTTTTCTTGCAGACAGCGTATGAAGACTGGTTCATCACATTGTACAATGTGTTGTATTCTAGTCTCCCGGTTCTGCTAGTTGGCTTGCTTGACCAGGTATTCTCCATGTTGTTAACAACAGATTAATCCAAAGGCATCTAATACCAAGTCTTTAATTACACTGAAACTGGTTGCTTTTTTTTATGTACAAGGCATTTTGGGGGTTTTGTTTGGTCTTTTGGTTTTTAAAAATGTATTCCTCTTCCCAGCGTGTGAGGTAACAAGAGACAATAAGCAGAGGGTTACTGAAATAGCCAAAGTTAATCGGGTCAGAGGTCTTCAGTACTAGTCATGTTTGTTAAAAATATTTCTAAATGCCTGCTGTTCCATGACATCATTCAGACAGCACAGCAACTGGTGGCTTTGTTAATGGAAAAGATATCCTTTGCTTACCCTTCTGAGCTGAAGATGTAGGGACTGCACAATTTTAATTGACTGTATTTGACAGGAAGCCTTGGTGTGTAGCATTTGTTTTAATTCAGTGGGACAAGTGATTTTGGCCTTCTCTGTTTGTTTTTCCATACAAGGCTTACCTGCTGATTAGGCAAATCAATGTTTCTGCTTTCTTTTGTGATAAAGATAAGAAAGAAATTCAGTACCAAATTAAGCTCTCACTTGAGTATTTGTTAGAGACTGAGACTTAAAGTCAGGACATGCAATGATAGCCCCCATCTTTTGCTTATTCGCCGTATAGGGAAAGGACTCCAACACAATACATAGCTGTGAAGAGCTGTGCAACTGTGGACATTCTTGTCTTTGCCAATAATGGGCTAAAAACTTAGAAGCCTGGAAATGGGATATGTGGTAGCTTTGTGAGAGAGGTCCTCCAGACTTGGTTCTTCCTAGTTGCATGCATTACTCTGTGCAAAGTCCTGCTGCCCACACTGCTATTTGAAAAGGAAAAGAAATCTGCCGTTTCCTTTGGGACACTTCATAGTTGAGCTTTTTAGTCTTCAATGCTCACACTGAGAACAAGAAATTGCAGCAACTTTTTTGTTTTCTTTTCCCCCTTTATTAAGGATGTGAGCGACAAATTGAGTCTTCGGTTCCCCAGACTGTATGTTTTGGGACAGAAAGATTTACTTTTTAATTACAAGAAATTCTTTTTAAGTTTGCTTCATGGAGCTATAACTTCATTGATAATCTTCTTCATACCATATGGAGCTTACCTTAAAACTATGGGACAAGATGGAGAAGCACCTTCAGATTATCAGTCATTTGCTGTCACAGCAGCATCTTCTCTCATATTTGTCGTCAATTTTCAGGCAAGTAAGCTTAGCTTCCTGATCCCTGTTGCTCTGAAAACACTTTCTGGTCACGTTTCTAAGTTTGTCTACTAGAAACATAACAATATGCAAAAAGCTTCCCCTTTTTGCCTTCTCTCTTCTCTGCTGATGCTCTCTCTCTCTGACTGACGTGTAACTGGATGAGAGATGACTTGACCAAAACGCTGTCAGTCTTCAGAGTAATTGACATTATATTGAGTTAATAAACTCATTTGGAGCTTTTGTTTGCTTTCAGATTGGCTTGGATACGTCTTATTGGACTTTTGTTAATGCTTTTTCAGTATTTGGCAGTATCGCACTTTACTTTGGTATCACATTTGACTTCCACAGTGCTGGAATCCACGTTCTCTTTCCTTCTGGCTTTCAGTTCACAGGTCAGTCCTTGTATTTTGTGTTTCTTGCTCCTGTCTCACACAGCTTTGTAACTTGAGCAGAACTATGGCCAAAATATCATGACATGAACCTGATGCCTGTGAAAGGAAATGATGTTAAATACTAATTTACTTCCAAGGAATGGTTTTGTTTATGTTTGGGGCCAGGTTGCTTTATTGGAGTATTTCTTTTCTTTCAATGAAAATGAGCTGGAACTTGACGTTGCCCAGCAGTAGGAGTCTGCAAATGAAAACTAAGTTAAAATTGGTGGGGCAGCTTAAAGTAAAGGGAATGCAATGATCTGGCAGGATATGTGTTTGCCAAGTTGCTCAAACTGATCAAGTAAGACAGAGCCAAATGCTGTTGGCAGCTCCTTGGGATTTTGCTGGAAGTCTGGGGAGGTGTAAGTAGCAGCCATTAGGAAATTTTTTTCTGAGGAAAACTGTGTTTCCTAATTTTCATAGTGACAAATATTTCTTATGTTGCCTTGGATCTAAATATCCCCCCCCCAAATAACAAACCCCCTCCATTTTATGTTCTCATTTTTAAGCTGAACCCAATTGAAAAAAGGTAGTTGCCTCTAATAGAACACTTTTCTTTGACCTTTAGTAATGTTTTACACTTCTTTTATAGCTTCCTTCTACCTGAATACTTTATGCATTTCAGAATTTTATAAAGATGTGACTGCTACTTAGTTTGATAGAAAGTTCTATGAGATTGGGTGTTTGGCTACTAAATATCGCTTGCTTTCTAGACCACATACATGCCAATGATACCGGGAGGAGTTTTCCTTGCTTTGCATGTTTTAAAGCAGGACAAAAGCCATGCATCTCAGCCAAGCGTTTGTCTTGCCGCCTCCCATAACTCTTAAAAGGGCTTTGACATGAATATGGATACGTCGTAATAGAAGTGCTTTATAAAATTCTTTCCCGTTACGCTCTCTTCATAGTAGCCTCTGAATAAAAGCTTGATGTTGTGATACACAACAGAATACCTGAACGTTAGGTCTTCAGGAAAGAAGCTGTGGCTTTTAGTATCTTATTTGTGCTTTATAGCTAGTTTATTTGGTCATGTCATAAACTAATTTTTGTTCTCTTTATTCCTAGGAACTGCTCCAAATGCTCTGAGACAACCATACCTCTGGCTGACCATCATTTTATCAATCGCTATTTGCTTACTTCCTGTAGTGGCATGGCGTTTCTTATCAATGACAATTTGGCCTTCAGAAAGTGACAGGGTGAGTAAAGTCTTATGTTATTTCGGTTAATTTGGCATGTATTTATTTACAGGAGTTGGTATTGGTGCTAATATTAGAGATGAAAAAGTGATTGTGCCCTAGGGAGAACTACACGAGACTGGAGCTCAGGTCCTGTGGCCAGGGAGGGTGGCAGCAGGGCTTTCCAAAGGCCAGACCGAGCCTGCCTTCTAGCTGGGTGAAGACTGGTGCTATGACGTTTTGCCATCCAAAGCAGAGTGTCACTTTGACGTGTTCTTAATTCCCAGTATCTTCCTTGTGTGCTTCTGTGTGATGCAGAGGTACATTTACAAGCTCAGCACACAGCTCAGCGTGGGCTAATTCATCGTTTGTCTTGGCTGAGCACTTGACTTTGTAAAACCACAGAAGCCTACTTTGAAGCTACTGATGGCCTGACTTTTTGTTTTTATTTGGGCTGTGTTGGAGTTCTATTATTATCTGTCAGAATATAGCGGACAGTTTTCGTTTGCTTCTGTTCTGCCTTGAGCTGGCAAATAGCATATGGGTATGAAAATTGTTAAAGTTGCGGTAGTGTTGTTTAAAAAGATATTAAAGAAGTGTCAGCCTGAGAATACAGGAACAGCTTTCAATTACATATCTTCAATCCACTTCAATGAAAGACATTTAAAGGTAAATGAAAATAATGAAGTTCAAACTAATACAGTAAGTCTTCCTGAAACAGTGATGCGTTACTGCATATATTCTTGTTTCTAACAAAATCAAATTTAAACAAGAGAACCCTCCTTTTAAGCAGTTTAAGGCTGTAAAAAAGTATCGGGTTATTTCCCCAGACAGTAAATGCAAGCAAGCTGTTTTCCCTTGTAATCCATAAACTAATCTCTCTTTGCATGCATGAAGATTCAGAAGAACCGTAAGAAATACATGGCAGAAGAACAACAATGGAAGCGAAGGCAGAGTGCTTTTCGCCGAGGGATATCTGGCCGTCGTTCTGCTTATGCTTTCTCCCATCAGCGGGGGTATGCTGATCTTATTGCTTCTGGACGCAGCATACGGAAAAAACGGGCTCCGTTAGATGCAGTCCTAGGCAACAGTGTGACGGAAGTCAGAGATGCTCGTGAAACAAGCTGATTTACTGCATTTTGGAGAGAAGCTTTTTATCCCAGTAATTGCACAAAAATTATTTTTTAAACAAACTCAGGATATTTTTTTAACCAAATAGCATAAGGATGTGAAGATTTTTGTTTTATCACTGAACTTCCTGGTTTTGGACTACTGGAAACATAGCAAGGCCAAGAGTTTTCTACGGAGCTACTAATCCTTGTGCAGCTGATTTCTGTTTAATGTGAAAGTGAAGGATATGTGTGCTAGGGTATGAAAACCCAGCACTGTAATTTTTTTTTTTTTTAGTGATGCCTGGAATTGCAAACCTTTTTCACATTTTAATAATATGTTGGTATAAAACTGCAGCTACATTTCATATTTTGTCTTTGAAAGCAAACTGCTAAGTAGCAGTTTCCTTGTGTGCGCCATTTCATTAAATTGCACAGTCATAATGGCAAATCAGATGATCAGTCTTTTGAGAGGGCCCTAGATATTCTCATCTGAACCTGTACAGCTGAGATTAAGAGATACCTGGTGATAAAATCTGACACTGACTGAAGTTTATTAGGAATTCTGACATTTATAGGTGTGGTTTCCGTTCCTTTCTTCAACAGTTGACTACAGCTTGCTGCACTAAATCGAGAGAGATCATTCTTTGCATCTAGTTAGTATGAGTGACATGCCATTGTTCCTTTCATAGCCAATTCCTTTATTTCCCCTGGAATAAAGAGTTCTGAGTCAATAGTTAACAGAGGGGGGTTTTTTCTCACTTGCTGTCTGTTTCTCTGCCAGTCTCTCTTTCCAACTCTAGAGTATGTTTGTGTCTACTTACACAGTATATTTATGAACAGATATATCTGATCTCTGGAAAGCTGCCCTTTGAGCTGGCAAAAGTTTGTTCATTTCAGTTTTAGATACAGCAGTCAATAATGGATAAATAGAAAACAGTCGCTTGTAGTGAGTCGATTCTTACGATGTAAAAAGTGTTTTTATGGGAGTCTCTTTACATTTGCACATACTTCTACTCTTCAAGTTGAGATGTATTAATGTTTCACTCCTATCTACTTCCAACTCCCGGACTAAGGTTGATTACTGAAGCGGTTTTATAGTGAAAATCATGATATACAGCTGTTGTTTAATGGAATGTACATTTCAAAAATTTTAATGCAAATAAATATCCTAAAGTTTACAGCTTCTCTTCTAATAAGTATATGGGTAAGAATAGAAGTGTGAGTGGAGTTTAAGTAGGAAATAGAGATAACTAATCTCTCATCAAGACAGATGGGGTTGGTCTTTAAAAAAAGAAAAAAAAAACCCAAACCCCATCACGTGTTGGACTCTAAAACCGGGTGTAATATTAAAATATTAAATATGTAAATTGAGGTGGGTATATTCCTTTTATTTCTAATGAGACTTACTAAAGACGAACATTTGTCATAGATAATGATTGATTGTCTTCGGCCGGTCATGAAAAGCAAAGCTGCTTTAGCTAAGGTAGGTTTGTTTGTTTGAAGGGTGACCAAAAGGTTAAGAAAAAGTAGCTGAGGAGGGAGCTTGAACGCTAGCAGGCTTTGAGCCTACCGCAGTCTTCTTCCCCTAATGAGATGTTCCTGCTGTTATTACCAAAGTGCGCAATAGCAGATTTCACTCTGTTGTGTTAGAGATTGTTGTATCAACATAGTTTTATTACTTGGACAAAAAGAGAGGGTATCCAGTTCAGAACCATGAACACCAACTTAATTTTGAACCACGCTTTCCAAAGTCTCAAACTAGGAGAAGGTGAAAGGAAGACTCTAGGTAAGAACTGGTACTCCTCCCAACAGCTTTTCTTATAATCCCTCTACCACTGAATGACTTCGGTCAGTTGTCTGAGCTCGTGATCTGTTCTCGTATTACTCGCTCCTGCGACTGGCGTTACGCTGCCTTCCTCGCCCTGCTGCTGGAGGAAGGCCTGTTCCTGTACCCGCTGGCCGCAGAGATGCCTGCAGCGGGCAGGAAGGCGGCAAGGGCCGCTAATGGAGCCCATGGCGCACTGGGAGCAGGCGCTGGCCGCCTCCTGCCCGCTTCCCAAGTGGCTGGAGGAACCCCTTCGTGAGAAGGGCCGGCAGTCTAATGGCCGCGTCCCAGCGTGATCGCAGGCGGAATCCAAGGCGTGAACGGGGAGTTTGTGGAGAACCACGATGAGACTGAAGGCCGTGTCGAGCTGAGGCGCCTGCAGTGGGAGTGCTGGAAACTGGTATCCAAAATACATCTCTCCCGCACCTCCCAGGGCGCGGTGAGGATGCCGTCTGAGGAAGAGCAGGCAGCAGTGAGGAGGAGCAGGCAGCAGTGAGGAAGAGCAGGCAGCAGTGAGGAGGAGCAGGCAGCAGTGAGGAGGAACAGGCAGCAGTGAGGAGGAACAGGCAGCAGTGAGGAAGAGCAGGCAGCAGTGAGGAAGAGCAGGCAGCAGTGAGGAAGAGCAGGCAGCAGTGAGGAAGAGCAGGCAGCAGTGAGGAGGAGCAGGCAGCAGTGAGGAGGAGCAGGCAGCAGTGAGGAAGAGCAGGCAGCAGTGAGGAAGAGCAGGCAGCAGTGAGGAAGAGCAGGCAGCAGTGAGGAAGAGCAGGCAGCAGTGAGGAAGAGCAGGCAGCAGTGAGGAAGAGCAGGCAGCAGTGAGGAAGAGCAGGCAGCAGTGAGGAGGAGCAGGCAGCAGTGAGGAGGAGCAGGCAGCAGTGAGGAAGAGCAGGCAGCAGTGAGGAAGAGCAGGCAGCAGTGAGGAAGAGCAGGCAGCAGTGAGGAAGAGCAGGCAGCAGTGAGGAAGAGCAGGCAGCAGTGAGGAAGAGCAGGCAGCAGTGAGGAAGAGCAGGCAGCAGTGAGGAGGAGCAGGCAGCAGTGAGGAGGAGCAGGCAGCAGTGAGGAAGAGCAGGCAGCAGTGAGGAAGAGCAGGCAGCAGTGAGGAAGAGCAGGCAGCAGTGAGGAAGAGCAGGCAGCAGTGAGGAAGAGCAGGCAGCAGTGAGGAAGAGCAGGCAGCAGTGAGGAAGAGCAGGCAGCAGTGAGGAGGAGCAGGCAGCAGTGAGGAGGAGCAGGCAGCAGTGAGGAAGAGCAGGCAGCAGTGAGGAAGAGCAGGCAGCAGTGAGGAAGAGCAGGCAGCAGTGAGGAAGAGCAGGCAGCAGTGAGGAAGAGCAGGCAGCAGTGAGGAAGAGCAGGCAGCAGTGAGGAAGAGCAGGCAGCAGTGAGGAGGAGCAGGCAGCAGTGAGGAGGAGCAGGCAGCAGTGAGGAAGAGCAGGCAGCAGTGAGGAAGAGCAGGCAGCAGTGAGGAAGAGCAGGCAGCAGTGAGGAAGAGCAGGCAGCAGTGAGGAAGAGCAGGCAGCAGTGAGGAAGAGCAGGCAGCAGTGAGGAAGAGCAGGCAGCAGTGAGGAGGAGCAGGCAGCAGTGAGGATGGAAGCTGAGGCGGAACGCGTCCGCGGGAGCAAAAAGGTTCGCGTCGTAGCAGTCGGTCAGTGGGCTGGGAGGAGCCGGGCAGGGAATGGCAGCGGCGCCTGGGGGGGTCCGGGGGGCACCGGGGAAAGGAGGAGGTGTTTTCTGTATTCGTGATTCATTTCTCGGCTATCAGGGAGCTGAACGTTGACCTGAACTCTCTGACTTTTCTCAACTTGGCGTTTCCCTGTTTGCCTAGAAACAGTTGTTTCTGTAAAAGGCTGCTTCCTTTTTGTTTCCTGATGTGCAGCCAGTGGCTTTGGAGAGTCCAGTATCCTGGGAGTCCTTAAGGCTTTAGCATGGCGTACTTACTGCACGCGTTGATTTTCAGAATGGAAAACGTTAAGTAATTCTGACCAACTGGTTGTTTTTGAAGGTTCATCGCTGCTGATAACCGTGAAGACTTTATATCCTTGTGTGTGTCCAGTTTTTCTTCCTGACCGTTTCCATAGCTGATAATTTTTTTTTTTTTTGAGTATTTGCCTGTATTTGTCATGTATTACAGAAGAGCTGTATGTTTCTGAACGAGAGGGCAATGATTCCACTGGTGATGGGACGCAAAAGAAACCATTCAAGACCGTTTTAAAGGTAACTGTGGAAAACACCTGCTGTTTGTTTTGAAGAGTGTGAACTGCACTTCAGGTCAAGTGATTGGCCTTGTACTTCTAAATGTAAATTTTGTACTGGTTTTTGCAACTCTGACCAGAAGGATCAGAAGTAGGATGTCTGCTCGGTTTCTTTAAGGATGACTTTAGTTCACTTGCAGTGTTACTGATTTTGCTGTTTTCTCCCCTTTTTAGGCTTTGATGACAGCAGGAAAGGAACCGTTTCCTACTATTTATGTGGATTCGCAAAAAGAAAACGAGGTGCTGTAGCATTAGAGCTTCCTAGCAGAAATTATTTTAATGCTCCTTTGTGTAAAGGAACACAAATGTAATCTTTTATCTTCTGCTCTCTCCTTGGATTGGTTTAGAGATGGGCCATTATTTCAAAGTCACAGATGAAAAATGTCAAAAAACTGTGGCACAGGGAACAAATGAAGAATGAAGCTAAGGAGAAGAAGGAGGTAGGTTGCAGATGATGCCAAGTTGGAGGAAGCATACCGCCTTTCTTTTCCAAAAACGTTAAACAGCGTTATTGTCATTCCTACCCCTCAAAAAAAGTTTCAGCTTGTTCTTCATTGGTATCATTGTTTTACGCATACATTATTTACAACTTGCCTTTGTTTAGATTAGGACAAGCAAATGGCTGAAACTGGGTGAGTTTTGAGTAATTGCAATCTATTGCCTTTAGACTTTCTGGAAAAAGTGTGAAATGCATCTGTGCGTTGTTTCTCATCCTGGTCTTGAATTAGGGCAGGTTTAGGCCTCAGCAGGGTAACGTCAAGGCTTTTTCTGACACCTGTGTCTGTAAGTGTACATTATAGTCTCCAGTAATTGTAGAGTGGAAATATTACAAAGCCTGGTTACAGCTATTTAATACTCTTTTTTTTTTTTTTTTTTTAAACCAGGCGGAAGATCTCTTGAGGAGAGAGAAGAACCTGGAGGAAGCTAAGAAGGTTGTTATCAAGAATGATCCTAGTCTTCCAGAGCCAAAATGTGTGAGTAAGAACCAGTGCACTTGATACATGGCCTGTGTTACAGCGTCTTGTCTGCACAAAGATTGCATCTGTCTCTGCTTTGTGGCTCTGGCAGTTGTTGAAGGCCACTGTCTTTTTGCTGTCCATAAATGTAACTTTGTTTTTCTGGTTATCTGTGTCCTCTGGTATATAGACTTTGGTCTTTCTCACGCACTTGATGGATATCTGAACTTTCTTAGTTCACATATCGGACTTCTCTGTGTCTGTGTTTGTCTGCTGATAGAGACCATATTTCTGTTTGAAAAAGTTCATTAGTTTTGTTTGATTATTGTAGTGGTGGAGAGTGAAGAAACAGTGCTGGTTAGAGGTCGTAACTGAAGTTATGGAGACGTGTTCTTATTTGGCTGTTTGTAGAGTCCTGCTGGATTTGGTGATTTGGTGCAGTCCTTAGCCTAGCAAGCAGCTATTACGTATGCTGCTCTGTGATAGGTTTTTGCATACACCCTGTGTAGAAGACGGTTTTGACTGGAGCCCTGCACTCTCATGGCTGCTCTTTGGGAAAGGGGCAGCTGGGCCCAGCTGTGCTGAAATCACAGTCCTTTCTGCACCGGTGCACTGTAGCAGCCCTTAACTGCCTGAGGCGTGATCCATTTTGAAGGTGCCTGCTGGGTTAATTGTTCTGACTATAGCAGTGTCAGTACCTCAGCTACATGTCTAGATGTACCTGTGTCGGATCCAGGTCCTGTGCTGCTTTGGCTGCTAACTGAACTCATCTATTTGAATGTCTTTAGAAATTAATCCAGAGCGCGTTCAGAGTGCCAGCAAATGGCATCCTTTCCAAGTCTTTTGGTGATTTAATGCACCTTGGATTTCCAGTAGTACCCAAGTACTCTAGTCTTAAGGTGTGAGCTGTTACGTGTTTTCACTTCTCCTTTTGGTCAAATGCGAAGTGAGCTTCTTTAAAAGCTATTACAGTCCTTAGTTTCTACATGGCAAAGTAAGCCTGCGAAATAGAAAGGACTCAATATGAAGTCTGGAAATGCTGTCTAAACGTATGGCCTGTCCTGGCTAAAATACTCTTTCCTCACTGACCAGCTGTTGAGTTTTGACAGCTGTGCTTATACCCTGGATGGAACTTTGCTTCAGGTGCTGCTGGGAGGAGCCGTTTTGGGGAGGGAGATGTCATATACACTTGTATTTTAAGTAATTATGTGGAAAACGCCGTCTGCATGGTGAATCATTTCTCTATTTGATTGCTTTTATTCCCTGCTTTACAGGTAAAGATTGATGCTCTGGAGGCTTACAGAGGCCAGAGAGTGAAGGTTTTTGGCTGGATTCACAGATTACGGAGGCAAGGTAAACCACGAGCATTTAGAAGTTCTTGAGCCTGTGCAGAGAGATGGAACAAATTCAGTAGCCTTCAAAATTTGGACACTTACAACAAATCAGATAGCACCTATTCTTAGATTTTTAAACCATCAGTTAGATGTCCTCTTTGGTTTATCGCAGTGGTCACTGCAACACTGAAAATTCTGTATGATGTATGAGCATATAGAGATTTCTAAGATTTCTTAGTTGAAATCTTGTGGGATTTTCAGTTTGGAGGCCAGTCCTGCAGAATTTCTTCAAAAGACTTGTTTTGTGTTTTAAACCAGTCCTGCAAACTAAGGAGTTAGCATCTGCTCATAGTGAAATCGGCAAGTTGGAATTTTAAAGTTATACGAAGTAGCATAACTTCTTTTAAAATAAGTTTAGCAAGTAATACTTGCTATCAAAATGATTGGTATTCTAGTTAGCAAGGCAGCATCGGTCAGGGCATAGAAGTGTACGGCAGAGGTGGTTCTGACTCCACAGGTATTTGTTCAAATTATCGCTGAAGGACTTGACTAAGCGGTTGTGGATCTGGATATCATGAGCAGTTGCTAGCAAATTATTTTTGTAGTTAGATGCTTTTGCGGACAGGTGGGTGACCAGAGTGATGTCACTTTGTCCCTGTTAGGGGTACCTTGGGCCTGTGCATTCAGCATTTCTGCAAACAGACTTGTAGTCCCTCAGGACCAGAGGGACATTTGAAGCCGTGGTGTGGCGGTGCAATCCCAGCCCTGTTGAGGTTGGAGCAGGCTTTGCTCTTGATGTCTGCTGAAACTTATTTTAACTTCTTATACAAAATACAGCTCTGTGAAAGGCTTCTGTAACTGCGCTAATGCTTCAGTGCTTACCTGGAGCATCTTTGGTTTTTAAAATGGAAAAAAGTGATCACAGTCCTTCTGTAATAATCTGCACGTCAGTGATTAATATGTCTTGGGAATGGGTCTGTTCAAATGGATTGGTGAATAAAGCTGAGGCTCTCCTTTTTTTTTATTTTTTCTTCTTTTTAACTAGGAAAAAATCTGATGTTCATTGTTTTGAGAGATGGCACAGGTTTTCTTCAGTGTGTCCTTTCAGATGAACTGGTAAGTTGTGATTATTTAATTCTGTCCTGTCATTAAATAAGTGAAGTGTTCATACCTCATCCATCTTTTTTTTATATAGACGATTGGAAGTTCTCCTAAACCTACTGATTAAGTTGTATTATTGTTAAATTGTATCTCCTACCCCTGGAGTTTTTTTGTCAATGTGAGAACCATTTAGAAGTGACTATGAGTTAATCTTGTCTGTGACTCCAATAGATGTCATAGGAAAACTAAAAATAAAAAATTGCCTCAACTATGCCTCTGTCTCTTTTTCTCTCTGTAGTGTCAGTGTTACAGCGGGCTAATTCTCTCTACGGAGAGCAGTGTTGCAGTGTACGGTATGCTGAACCTTGTTCCTGAAGGCAAGCAGGTATGGGAATTAGTGTGTTTGGGTCCTCCTCCTCTTTAACAGTTTATTGTTTTCCTGATGGAAGGAGAAGCAGAGGTGGAAAAAATTATTTCCACCGCTTTGGTGGGAATTTGGTTTAGAGACAAGAACAAACCTCCCAAAGCTGCTGCTGTCACCCACAGTTCAGTGTGTGACAGGTGACCTATATGACTGCTCTGCTTTTGCCTGAAGCAATTTTCCACTGATATGTCCCGTAGATATTTCCTAGACTATAACAGTGGAAAATTATGTTAAATGAATGACATAGCTTTATTTTCCCTAAGAGGTTTATTCAGTTTCTATTTTGTGAGGCTAAGAATTTGGGATTAGCTCTCTTCTCTTACTGAGATGGGTTTGTAGGCTCTTCGCCATGTTGTATTTGACCTCCAACACTTGGCAGGTGTATGAACTAGGGAGTTTACTAAACTTGTTTTGTAAAACCTTGTTTATAATGGTGGTCTCAGATTAAGGACTGGGCAGGTGTGATTTTTAGATCTCAAAATACGATGCTGCTTATGCCCTGTGCCTTTCTCATTCCAGTCGAGATCTACAAACTGTTACCGTTTGGAAAATTGTTTGAATCTGGAGTTAGGGCTAAAGCCATGTTAGGCAGCTATGCATGAAGGATGGCCAATAAAAAGGATTCAAACTGAAGGCAGGAGAGAAGCTTTTAGGAACTGTGACAGCAACTCAATGCACTCATCAGGACTTGCAGGCCTATATCAGGATATTTATTGAAAATTACTGTAAGACTTCTGTCTTAGTTATTAAGAGGTGACTGAGAGACAAAAGTAAATTGTGTCTGTGTTGCAAAACTTAACTTGTGATGCAGAAACAGCAAACAAGCTCAGGCCACATTTGTTCTATTAAATCATAAGTTGTCCTTTTAAGATGTGAGCTCTTGACAGCTGCTTATAGTAACATCCTCTTTTTCTGAAGGAGAAAGCAAAGCAGTAATGTTGAGATTTAGAGGACAGATGTATGTTTAATCTTTCTAGTCTGTAACCTTACCTCTTCCTTCAGATATATATTCAAAATTGTCATCCACTCTTGCAATGGGAGTTGTTCTTTTGTGTGGATTGGCAATCTATATTCTCCTCTCTGGTCTCTTAATAAGTGTACTAACTCTAGTAAGATAACGGGGAGAAGAAACATGTCTGTTTAAAAAAAAAAAAAATAAAAAATCACACTTTGGAGCGTTACATTGCTCCAATGTTTCCAAGATGTATTAGACAATATTTGAGCAAAGTAGTCCTGCGCTGTGGCTGTCTGTAGTGTGTAAAATAAGGTCAAAGTGTTAACCTTTTGTGGTGCTTTGTAGATGATTCAATTTTCTTGTAATCCATGTACTGTTGGCCATTACTGGCATGTTTTGCAAATGAAATTTGGCTAGGCTTAATTGTTCTAGTTGTCCCTGCTACTCGGGTCCTATCCCCAAGAGAATTGACCTAAGGTTAGAGAGCCAAGCTCAGCTAAATGTGAATCCGCTCCCTGTTGCGTTTGCCGATCAGAAGTTAGCAAGATTTCCTTCCCTTCATAGCTTACGCTACTGGGACTTCTAAAAATAAACGCAACCAAACAGGGATCACTCTTTTAAACAACTTTATGCAGTTTGGTAATCATAAGTAACTTGTAGTATGTTACTGCTCATAACGTTTTGGACGTTGAAAACACTTCATGTTTTCTTGTCTCATCACGATGATACAATGCTTTTAGTGAACAAAACCACCAGATTTGTAAAAATATATTGATTAGACTTTGAAAATCTGCATTTATACCCTGAAAATACTGTGAATGAAAAAAATAGCATTTTAGGGGACAGAAGCCTACTGTGACCCACACGGGGGAGCTGGTGAGACCAGAAATGAAGAGGTCTGTAGCCCGGGCAGCTGGACAGGGCTGAGCCCTGGCGTGGGGACCTCTGCTCGCCATATGGCAGCAAATAGGACAGGGGGGATGAGCCAGCATGAAACTTGCTATTTTCATGTTGTGGTGAGATGCTACCCAGCGCAGAAAGATCGCTCGGGTGTCTCTGACAGACAAACTCAAGAGTACCCATAGAGAGCTAGTTCTTCCTCTGTCATGATCTAAGCAACTTTTTTCAACTTTTTTGAAGTTCTCCATCCAGTAGGAGAATGCGGCTCAAACTGTACAAAGAAGAAAATACCTTGAATGTCACACTGCGGTCTTGGGGTCTGCATTTTCTTCTAATAGATGGGAGGACTCTTCCCTCTGTGTGTGTGTAGTGTTCTTAAGGCATACGGGAAGGTTCTTTGTGCCAGTGTGTTGTGTTGTAGCACCATACAAACTACTATGAAGAAAATTAACTCTATCCCAGCCAAAACTAGCACACAGTGTAAGTTACCACAGAATGGTTTTGGTTGGGAGGAACCTCTGAAGGTCATCTTGTCTACCCTCTTCTTGAAGAAGGTCTAATGTGAGGTCAGGCTGCCACGGGTCCTTCGCCACCCTGTGAAGAATTTTTTTTTCTTCACGGCCAGTTGAAATCTCCTTTGCTGCAACTTGAGACTCTTGTCCTTTTGCTGGACACATCCAAGAGAGTCTGGCTCCACCTTCTCTATAACCACCCATTAAATAGTTGAAGGTAGTAAGTAGTTTCCCCCTGCTTAGCTTTCTATTCTTCCACCTGAATAAAACCAGCTGTCTGTGATACATTCAGTTTAAGTATAATGTATCTGGAAGCTTCTAATTATCTGCCTGTAGTACTCAGTCCCAGTCACGTTAAGTCTGAGACACTCATGGTGGGTTACAAATGACGCTTCCAAGCATGGTACGACTGAGTTACAAAGCAGTCACTTTGAAAATACTGCAGGTAGGATTTTAGCATCTTCTGTTTAAACTGGATTAACAACTCTGCCGCGATGCCAGATGGTGACATCCAAGGGGCAAAAAGTGGACTTCTGAAATATTTGTTTCTCTTCAAATTGGCAGGCTCCAGGAGGCCATGAGCTGAACTGTGATTACTGGGAGCTTATTGGTCTGGCCCCAGCAGGGGGGGCTGACAATTTACTCAATGAGGATTCGGAGGTTGATGTGCAACTTAACAACAGGCATATGATGATTCGAGGCGAGAATATGTCAAAAATCTTCAAGGTGCGCTCCATGGTAGTACAGGCCTTCAGGGATCATTTCTTTGCCAATGGATATTATGAAGTAAGTATATTTTCCTCTGTCAGCAAGTGACTGCTTTAATGTCCTGACTTCAAGGCTATCTTTCTTCTGGGAAAAACTATGTAGACTTTCTAATTGACCTGAAAGGGGCAAAAGAAAAGCTGTTTAGTAGGAAACTATTATTTGATCGCTTTCATAGACATAGATCTCAAAGGTGTGTAGACACTTCTGAGGCGTGTAAGTGTTATAGGGTGATTCACAAACAGCCTGCATACCTCTTTTTAGGGTGCTGAAGGATATCGGGCTGAAATACTTGCGTGCGTGCACACAAAAGCTTT